CATCAAAATCCAGCCACTTAAGTATTGAACACGTCACCATTTTTCTCAGTAAATAAATTTCTAAAGGTGCTGTTGGCATGAAATTTTCACAAGATGTCGGTAACAACCCAAGTAACCCATGCATACAAAGAAAACAAAACAAATAAGTTCAGAAATGAAGTTACGTGTAATAAAGTAGAATGATACAGGGGGAAAAGTATTGAACACATGAAGAACGGGAGGTGCAAAAAGTCATGGAAAGTCAAGACACCAGCAGAAATCTACCAATAATTAGAAAGTCAGTGGAAATTAATTAATTAATTAACATTTCAGCAAGACAATGATCCCAAACACAGCCAAGGAAACTCTCGACTGGTTTCAGAGAAAGAAAATAAAGCTGCTCGTACGGCCAGCCGATCACCTGACTTGAATCCACTAGAAAATAATAAGAACTAAAGCTCAGAGTTCATAGAAGAGGCCCACAGAACCTTCGAGATCTGAAGACTGTTTGTGTGGAAGAATGAGCCATAATCACACCTGAGCAATGCATGCCACTATAGTTTCTCCAGACAGCTGTCATCACCAACAAAGCCTTTTGTACAACGTATTAAATACATTTCAGTAGTTCAGTACTTTCCCCCTGTGTCATTCCATTTTATTACACAGAACTTAATTTCTGAACTTTCTTTGTATGCATGGGTTACTTGAGTTGTTACCGACATCTGGTGAAAATTTCAAGTCAACAGCACCTTTAGAAATATATTTACTGAGAAAAATTATGACGTGTTCAATACTTATTTTCCCCGCTGTATTTGTTTAGAGCTGTTTTGAACTGTTTTGTCTTGTAGACGGTGCTTGATCTGTGCAGATTTCTCTCCTCAAGCGTTATTATGAATTATGGACTCGTATTTTAGTTAAAAGCATCTTAATGCTGGATGTGTTTCAGCTTTTGTCTTCTCCAGATGTTAACTGATGGACTGGAGTGCTGTGGATTACTTGTGGATTATTGTGATGTTTTTATCAGCTGTTTGGACTCTCATTCTGACGGCACCCATTCAGTTGCAGTGAGACACTGATGCAATGCTGCATTTCTACAAATCTGATGAAGAAACAAACTCATCGTAATCTCAGCACATTTTCCAATTTTTTGGGGGTGGGGTGTGAACTATTCCTTTAAATAAGATTATTTATTTGAGTGAGTTTTTCAGACATAAAGTCTTCCAGGATTGTTTGGTAGTACGTTAAATACATCTCGATCTGCACACATGCGTGTTTGGTTTCCAAAAGAGTTCAAATCAGTCTCATCTAGATCAACAAAAACGAGATGTTTGCATAAAAAACCTTTCCAGTTTCTGTGTGTCCTGCTTCCCAAACAGCAGATTAATAAATACTCGATGCACTTCATCACCTGATAATATACAGTCAGAGTCCTTCTACAAATGACTGATCATTGGGATGAAAACAGAAGCAGAGTTAATGTATAATCAAATGTTCAGTATCATCATTGAATGACAAGACTCCTCTGAGAAAGTCGCAGGGTTTTTTTTAAATCTATAAATCTGCAGTGATTTGTTGTTTTTGGACTACTCTCAGTGCCATGGTTGTTTTAGGCTCAGCAGAAGACTTCTAATCGAACATGATTGTGTTTAATGTGAGAACCAGCAGATGTCTGTCTCAAACACGGATGATTAAACCCAGAGCTTCAGGCGAGGAATCTGCCAACCTCTGCGTCCTTCTAATGCTTTAATAAACAGTATTAATGTTCAGGATACGGATGCGTTTACAGGCTTCATAACCCGTGAGATGATGTTCCCATGAAATGTTTGCTAATTATACTTCATCTTTGTTTACGATCACAGACCAAAAGCAAATATGACCGCTGCTCTCCTGTCTTCATTAAAACACTGTAGATGCAGTATTGATTGCATAAGACATTTAGCCAAGATCAGCCTTTAGCCATTTTAAAAATGATCACAAATCAGAAAGCAAAGGGAAAAATATACTGCAAAAATCACTTTCTTCATCAGTCTTGTTTTTCATTACAAATATCTAAATATCCTGAAATCAACATTTACTCGAGAAGGAAAATGACTTTAAGAAGTCTTGTTTTTTTTTGGAAAATGTATCAAAATTAATTATGTTTATGCTTAAAATGAGAAAAAAAAAAATCTGCCAGTTGGCTCGGAAAAATAAACTCAGTTGAAATGGAAAGATATTTTTTATTTGTTTTAAGTATAAATTTGCTTAATTTTGTATCAATTTTTCAACAAGATTTGATATCTCAAGTTATTTTGCATCTCAAGTAGATGTATCTTCATTTAAGAATGTTTACATATTTTTACTGGAAAACAAGAAAATATATATTTTTTGCAGTGTATTTTTGTCATAATTTATAAAAGGGTACTATTTATTTTTTTAATTAGTTACCATATTAAATAGTAGAAAATCGGTCTTATAATGCATCCGTGTTCTTGTTGATGCTCATATTTTCATTTCTAAAAAAAAAAAGAATTTTGAAAAAAAAAAAAAAAAAATTCCCTTTTAAAAAAAATTATAATTGAGATTCCAGATGTTTTATTCCTTGAAGCGTATGTGAAATGAACAAAATTTTATTGCATTTTATTGTATTTTTATTTCAACTAGACAAGTGTAAATTTCCACTGTAATTATCAAAACTTGGTAAAATAATATTTCTCAAAAGATGGAATAGGGCTGATCTCATAATTCTGCTTAGATGTGTGTAAATGAGCAAATAAATGTCTATATAAATGTAATTCAGTGCTAAAGACAGATAAAGCAATTCTTCATTTGTTTAATTACAGTAAAAGTCTTCATCGTTTTCTACAGTTTCAGTCTAATCGGGTAATACACCGAACCTTATGGATGGAGCATTAATAAACATACTGTACTTTTCCTTCAGATTAATAAAATGTTGATTTTAATGACTGTTTTTCAGTTTTTAAATGTGCAGACGTTCTGTTAGTGTGAAGACTTTCCATCATTTCCTTATAACCATCCTGATACTCGGTGTTTGTTTGTAAAGTCTCTTCATGATCAGCGCTGTGTATATGATTATCCCGATGGATTAATATAATAAATAATCACGAGTGTCGATGGACAAAATGTTCCCATCAGCTGCAGAGTTGTTTATCATCACATTTATTTGATGTTCTCGTCTTTCACATGTTGCCTGATTTAAACCAAAGCCAAGCTTTATCTGTAAGATATGAGAGTCTAAACAAACCATCTGTATGAACACATGAAGATTCTCTGCGTTAAACTTGTATTTGAAATTAGTTGTACTCATGCAACCTTCATTTGTAAAGTAAAACTGTCCAAAGTGTCCTGTGAAGCAGTTTTCTTGATTTTAGGTGTTAGTTCTTCATTACATTTCAGCAATGGCTTTCTCAAATTAACCAGTGTCTGTATTTATGACACAGGCATCATTAAAGATATATCATTATATTTAATATCAATTTAAATCTGGAGTTATTTCCATATGCTGCATATTTTCATGCCCTCATCATAACCGTTTCAGAAGATCATTATAGATTAAGTCATGTACGTTTGTGAATTTTAAATAGTTTTATTCAGAAATAGCTGTTTCTATAGCTAAATGTTTGAAATTAAAGGGGTCATATGATGCTGCTAAAAAGAACATTATTTTGTGTATTTGGTGTAATGAAATGTGTTTATGCGGTTTAAAGTAAAAAAAACCACATTATTTTCCACATACTGTACATTATTGTTTCTCCTCTATGCCCCGCCTTTCTGAAACGCGTCGATTTTTACAAAACTAATCGGTCTGAAAAGCGAGGTGTGCTCTGATTAGCCAGCTATCCAGTGCGTTGTGATTGACCGAATACCTCAAGCGACTTTAGTCTTTACAACTTTACAGATCTTCTTTATGCACCAAGAGCTTGTAACACTCTAAAGAGAAAGGAAAAAATGAAATCGCATCATATGACCCCTTTAAACATATTTCTTGGGAATTTTAATTGCTAATAATGATTTTTTTTGCTGTGACACTTTCGATCCTGCTTGTCTTTAACCTCCAGACAGACATCATCCTTTAGGAAGTGACATCATTACTGAAAGGAAATCAGCAGTTCGTGTCTCTCTAAAACGTGCTCAAATCAGTTTGATATCAGTGTTTCACGATGAACTTCAAGCTGATGTCATCAGGTAAGAAAGCTGTCCATGACTTCAGCTCTTTATTTCCATCCGTTCTCTCGTCTGTTTAAGTGTCTGAGCTTGAGTGTTATATTAATATAGTGTAATGGTTTTGAATTAATTCAATTTTTTTCATTTTAATTTTAGTTTAAAATGTGTTGCGTGTGTTTGTCCAGTTTTATTATTTTTGTTTTAGTCTATTTCTAGTTTTTAATATTTTTATTTCAGTTATTTTCAGCTTTCGTTCTAGTAATTTTGTAATAATTCAACTTAAAGTAAATGGAAATTTGAAATGCTGCCTTGGCAACTGATTGAAATATGATGTTACATTTTTTTATATTTAATTTAATTTATTTAACATTTATTTTATTTCCTTTACCATGAATGTTCGTTTGTTTGTTTGTTTTTTGTTTTTTAATATATACAGTGGGTACGGAAAGTATTCAGACCCCCTTAAATTTTTCACTCTTTGTTATATTGCAGCCATTTGCTAAAATCATTTAAGTTA